TATGAGAGAAATTAAAATAAGAAAGAAAAACAACAATAAGAATATCAAAATATACGTGGTTTGACACAATGTGCAATTTGCATATGTTCACGGACCAGACACCTTAAGTGCTACATCGATGTTTATTCCATGGTGATTAATTACATGAGGTCCAACCACATTTATAGAGTGAAAAATAAACAAGATAAACATAATCATTGGGGTAGTTTAAGAGATAACAAAGACGAGCTTTAAACTTAAATGTCTTAAGTTTGAATCTTGACAAACCTTTAGGGTCAGACTATGAGGGATTTATCTCTTATAAATACCCCAATCTTAGCGTGGATGGTCTGTCTTTGAGCGGACTGGAGGTGCGCGTAAACTAACTCGAATATTGGAGAGGGAATTAGTCGAGGTGTGTGTTAACTGGTCTGAACAAAAAAAATAATCACTCTAACTTATCATTATTTTATCCCAATAGTAAATATTGATGGATATATATGAATTCTATTATATCTCTGATACCGATAGCAAGTATTATTGTAAACTTTTAATATAAGGAACAAGAAGTTGAATTGATTTTAATATAAGGAAAATGGATAGGACCTCAAAGATGGTTTCTTATTATTGAATAGTATTGGTGGAAGGTCGAGCCCTGAAATTTATATTGGAGTTTGGTAGTTGACTGTTATACTAATTTAGTTAAGTTTGTTCTCGAGATGAGTAACGAGCGCGGTCAAATGTCTCATGATCCTACTAGTGAGAGCCTATCAAGATGATTTATGAGCACTCTCTTTTACCCCTATCCCTTTTTTTTAATTATAAAAAAAAAGAGAATAGTATTTGTTAAGTTAATTCAAAAAGGCACATGCGCATGACAAAAAATAAAAGCAGAGTTGGAGGAACAATTTGGCCAGTTGCTTGGATATATACCGCAAACAATAGTATTTTTAGGAATTAATTAAGAAGGATAATCTTCTGTTTTTGCAATTTAATATCTATAAATAAACGGTTTTAATTGACCTGCAATTTAATAATAACATCAATAATAATATTCATAAATAACTGAAGTCATCATGGAGTTTCCAGTATAATGTCTATTCCGATCAATGAACAAATAAAAATGCAGTATCAAATTTGAGTATAACAATAGAAGTCTTGCTTGATAAGAAGCATGTGAAATGAGAGCAAGTGCACACATCTCAAGTTTACGTTTTAATTACGTGTTTCTTGAGTTGGTTTTTTTTTTTTTTTTTTTCAATGGTAAAAAATGTTCAGATCAACTTATGTGAACATTAATTAATCATCTTCATGGTTTAAACAAAGACAAATCGTCGGGACTAAATTATTTAAAAAAAAAAAAAAAGACTTTTGATTTGTTCTCCAATAAAGAAAAAGTTGCAAGTACTTTCACGTAGAGATTCTTGGGCGGTGGATGTGAGTGGTTGTTCAATTTTCTTATTCTTTACTTCTATTGGATCATTTGACAGTGGAGATGACAGCAAGTGGGGCATACGTTGCTTGTGGGTTAGATGCATCTAAAGAACTTGAAGACATGGCAATGATGTGACTGACTAGAAGTGACAAAAATATCCGAGAAAAGAATATGGCTTGAATTAGGTGTGCAATTCAGATGAATTAGACAGGTTGGACAATCAATACTAGTTCAATTTTAGGTATATAATCTTTAATCTTAATCTTAATCCTAACCTTACCTCGGATTGGAAAACTCAATTCGAGCACTGCCTGAGTTTAATTCGGGCGGACTCGAATTGATGATTTCAGATTGTTTCGAGTTATTTTACGGATTCAATTCGAGTAGAACCTAAAATAAGATTGTTGTTTTAAACCTAATACATATATTACATAATATTCACCTAAATTAACAACCAATAACTTCAACCAACTTTTTAACGAGAGAGGCTGAAAGAACGAAAGAGGCAGAGAACGATAGAATAAAAAATAATATAAATATATATATATATATATATATATATATATATATATATATATATATATTTTAATTCGTCGGGTTCGGGTTGAACTCGGGTTCAGTAGACCTTAACCCGAACCCAACCCAAATTGAATTCGGGTTGAAATTTTTTGACCCAAACTCATTCCAAGTATTAAAAACTCTTGTCCAAACCCTAATTTTTTCGGGTTGCCCAACCCAAGTTGCACTCCTAGGTTGAATGCACTTTTGCCTCCTAAAATATTTATTTTCATTACATTATTTTTGTCAATTTAATTCGTATTTAAATAATCTCTACACAGACGATCTATTAAATTTTTTGACAGAAGTATTCATGTCATTCCTTTAGACAGTGTTACGTGATTGACATATAATCACTTCTGTTAGCAACATAATGGACCATTGTATAAGGATCATTTAAACACTAATAATATATTTTAGAGATTAAAATGATAAAATTGATATAATAAATACTAAATTGACAAAAAAATATATATTTTACGGTCGACAAATACTATTAACCCAATATATTAGTTAAAAGTGGACCTTGAGATCATGATGACATTGTTTTATTTATGAATTGGGTGTCATGAGTTTAAGTCCTATAAATAATATTCCCGCATGCGGAATAAGGTTTGGTACATTTGACTTTTATCAAAATTTTATAGTAACAAAACCTCACATTTAAATTGTATTTTCCAAAATATATATATTTTCAGAGAAAACGACTTAAATTGTACGAGGGATGACCAGTGAAACACAGAAAGAAAATTGTATCACGCCACAATGTGAACCAATCACTCGGGCCTTATTTTACAAATATACATCCGACTAATTGTAAATATATACACATACATACATTAGTAGTAATTATTTTTTCGATAAAGAAACTCATCCTAATCAAGTACACTTTAAACTCGGTTGTATTGGAAACAAACAAGCATCCATAAACCCCGCACACGATGAGTTTCTTTATGTATTGCAAAGTCAATACATGCAAGTTTATGTATTGCACTCTATTTGACCATCGAATAAACAAGTGTGGATTGACAGACACTGTTTATAGTATAAATATATTGTAAATTACAGAAATATTTCAAGAGTGGAAAATCATAAAATGTGTATTGTATATGCGTATGTAAATGTCAGCAATCACTATTGATGGGTGATAGATATTATAAACTACAGAAACATTTAAAGATGATAGTTAAGCAATATAAAATATAAACAACCACCGCTCAAATAATCAATCTAGATTTAACAATGTTATAACATAGTTAATCGTTTCCTAGTTCAATCCAAATATTATTTTTACTTAGTTTTTTGAATTTCAATTGAAACTCGAATTAGTTATAAGATTATAGTTAGATGAAAACTCGAATACAAGATCTCACTTCACAAATTTTGGTTTGATCTTGAAAAGAGAAAGTCTCAATCCGAATATGTCTAAATTTAGATTAGATTCAATATTTTTTCCTTAAAGTTTTTTTTTTTTTAATTGGTCCGAACCCAAATTCCAATACTAAGGATTTCACCCTTTCTCCTTCTTGGACTAGACTATAGTATTGACATTTATTATATTTGTAGATTTTTTTATAGTTTTATTATTAATGTTGCGAGTGTTTTTACTACAATTTTGGTACTTAAAAAAATGATAAAAATAATTATCACAATAATAATAAAAATATTCATAAAAGTGGTAAAAAAATCGAAAAAAATATAAATCATCCACAAAAATGATAAATTTTTTTGCACTGAAAAAAGTGGTAAAAATAGTTACTATAATATTTATAATAGTGATAAAAGTACCTATAAAAATAATAAATTAATTATAAAAGTGATAAATTTTTTTATTTTAAAATAATATATAAAAAAATAGTCCATTTTAACGGTATAATACTAAAATTTTGTTGAGTAGTCAAATCCCCTCTTTCTTTGTCTTCTTTTTCTCAACTTTGCCGAGGAACGTGGGATTGGACTGCAAGTACTAATACTAAATCATTGTTAAAGAATGACCAAGAACCTCTTACCTCAGATTGACACTGACCAAGATCAAATCTCAGATGAGGCCTAAGACAGTTCGATCTCCATGTTCCTTTCACACTGAACATAGTCAACCCTATGTGATGTGGCGAAATCTAATTGGTCAAATCAAAAAGTCAACTTACTACCACCTAAAAAAACAAAGAAAAAAAAAAGAGAAATAAATTAAACTCCACCAGTTCCTCACCCCCCCCCCCGCCCATCCCTTCCCTAAGCCAACCCTCAAATCAAGTCACCCAATAAACTTAAAAAAGAGAAAATTCCATTCACACCCCCTACATAATTCCATATCTTCATAGGCACCTCTATATTTTCTGAAAATTCATTAATATCTTTTCCAATGAATGGTCCATAATGTATTTAGAACAAAGAAAAAAAAATTTAATCTACACCCTTGCATAATGTCACATTTTCACCAACATTCCTTCTGCTATCTGAAATTTTAATAATAGTCCTTATGGGTATATATTTTTGTTCGTAACCCTTAATATGGAGAGGGACATTTAACTAGTAAAAAATCATTACAAAGCTATTTTTTCACCTACAAGAAGTATTTATAATGATAAAAATTATGCCTTATTATTTGTAATAAAAAATTTGGTAAGCATAACATTATTGTAATAGTAATTTTGATATTTTGTATAGAATTTTTAGTGGAATTATCAACTTTTTATAGTGATTGAAATGTGTATACAAACTAGAAGGGGTGTTAGTAAAAATTTAAAAAAATGAAGGATTTTCTCGAAAATATGACATTATACAGGGGGTGTGGATGATATTTCTCCATTAAAAACTCCGGAGCATCCTCTGTCATACAGCGGCACAGTCTTCTTCCTCAAACCTCCTCTCTCTCTTCTCCCCTCCCCCACAATACATTTAGCCATGTAGTTATTAACACACACCTCTCCTCTTCCGAAAACCTACTTTATTCTCTTATTAGGGTTTTACCGCTTCACTTTTGCTTATATATGTATTTCGATTGATTTGTGCTTGGGTATGGTTAGAGATGGGTCGCGAAGGCGGGTACGTAGTGCCGGCGGATCCACAGGCGGGTCAGGGTGGGTTAAAGAAGAAGGGTGCCGCGTCGAGAAGTTGGATTCTGATGGATTGCACCGGTGAAGAGACACCCTTGGACGTAGACAAGTATGAGATCATGCATCGAGTTCAAATTCACGCTCGTGATCTTCGCATTATCGATCCCTTATTGTCGTACCCTTCAACGATTCTGGGTCGTGAAAAGGCCATTGTTCTCAATTTGGAGGTGAATTTCCTTTTTTTTTTTTTTTCAATTCAAACTGTTTTCCAAAGAAAAATTTATGATGTGTGTTTTGGAAGAATGGGATTCACGCCTTGAAATTGGAATTGGGTATTGTTTTACTATGAACCTTTTGAGTAATTTTTTTTTATCTTATTCTGATTTTAAAGACTGAATTATACGTTGCCAGACAATTCACGCCATGGAATTGGCATTAGAGATTGTTTTGGCTGCAGTTAGAGTAAATTTTCTGTAATATTGATTCTAAAGTTTAGATTTTTCTTTGAAAATTTGCGGTGATGGTTGATTGGGTTTTTTATGCTGATTTTTGTGTTTTGTGTTTGTTTTCTGGGTGTGTCAGCATATCAAGGCTATCATTACTGCTGAAGAGGTAAGCTTCTGATCATAATTTTCTTTTGGTGGTGGTGTTTTTGTTTTAGTGTCCCGTTGAAAATGATTTAGTGGTAAATTAATTGATTATTGATTAAAAGGTGTTTTAAGCTATGCGGTTTAGGATTAGAAAGAATTAAAGTACCTGTCAGGCTGAAATAATGTAATAATTTAATCAAGTTGTGAAATTGACATATGAAGTCCAGTGGAAGATGTTTTCATGAAGTTACGAATCCACTGTGTTCTGTTGTAGGGCATAAAGAGTGTGTGGATGGAAAAAGAAGTCAATTTTGGTCATAATTGGATAGTAAGCTCTTGGGTTTATGAGGATTAAGTCACACTGGCTTTGACGGTTTATGCTCTGGGGACCAGACGCGGACTTAGTCTTGTGCTCATTATGAACTTGGGTGTGTGTCTTTGTGAAGTTTTGGGTACTAGTGTGACCAGAAAAATTTGATACTAATTTTAATGTGGCTTCCAAAGTCAGCAGAAGGGCAGAAAAAGGAAGCACTCTCTGGGTTTATTTTCTGTTATGTGAAAACTAATGTTTATGTTTGGCCCGGTTATCTACACTCACATATCTTAAATGACATTGAAAAGTTAACTTATAATGTGACCTACAGAATAACCCACCTACATGTACTGATTTTTTTTTAATTGTCGTTTCTGTTTTAGTTTGCGTCTTGAAATTGGAATTTGATTGTTTTTAATTTGTTTTTCTGCTTTGTTGAGTTTTTCCAATTGCATGCTGTCATTCTGATCTCTTTACTTGAAGGTGTTGCTTCGAGACCCATTGGATGATAACGTTGCCCCTGTTGTTGAGGAACTTCGAAGGCGATTGCCCCCAATAAATCCTAATCGTGAAGCCCAAGGAGATGGAAAAGAGTTGGGAACACAGCATGATGTCGACACGGGTGAAGAGGATGGTATGCTAGTTTAATATAGCGATTGGAAGGATAATTGGATTACGTTTTCTTGAAAATATTTTTCTTTTTATAAGGCTCAAAATTTTTCATTTTTAAGTTATGGAACTAATATTTTTTCTATAATTCTAATCATAGACCATATTTGATAGCCTAATTATCTGAGTAATGAAATGCAGAATCTCCATTTGAATTTCGGGCTCTGGAGGTTGCTTTGGAAGCCATTTGTAGTTTTCTTTCTGCCCGCACGACTGAACTGGAGACTGCTGCTTACCCAGCTTTGGATGCGCTTACCTCTAAGGTGCACAGTTACATATAGCTTAATTTTTCTTGTTACTGTTCTAAGCCGATATAAAAACAGGATTCACATTGTGCGCGTGCTTTCTCACCTCCAGCCAATCCCCTAAAAAAGAAATAACTAGAAAAAAAAGAGAAACAGTCCACCCATATACCTCATAAATCTCTTAGAATTGGGTAATTGAGGAACTACATATTTTACCATTAACTAACACTGGGTTTCTGATATAGACAACTCAAATTAGGTTTGGTGGTAATGCTAGTGATTTAATTTTAGCATCATACGAGTAGTTCCCATTGATTACTTTTTTCTGCCTGCCTTGTTCTTCATTTTTTAAAATATTAAGCTCAACAAATATTTTGGTTTTGACATATTTGTTGGAAGTGTTTTGTATATTTCACTTTTCAATTCCAAGGTGTTCATGTTATTCGTATAAGTTTCTCGTGAAAGAGGTGCGTGTTTGTGATCTAATGAAGGTTTTATGTATTAATAATATGGTTATCCTGTAAGCTTGATTATTGGCTCAGGGAAAGGGTTTGTATCATTGAATCAGTTTAGCTTCAAGGTTGATCATGGGTATATTTGGTAAATTAGCTCTACTGAACTTCATATCCTAGGGAGTAGGGACTTTGTATAGTTAGTGACAGTGCTAGTTAAGGAGAAAGGCGCACCAAGGTGCTAAGGTCTTCTGGGGTCTGGGTCCAAGCTTCATTGAATTGAGAAACATATAGTAGATATTATATAAAAATTAGAAATCCCATTGCATATACAAACAACTAAATGCATAAGCATCATCGGATTTCAAATAAATACAAAATATTTTTTAAAACCAAGGGCTAATTTCACAATAGTAAGAGCAATAATCAAACCAAAAGATGAGGTGTTCATTTTTGGAAACGAAGTTTCATTTCAGTAAATTAGAAGGTAGTTTCAGAAAACAAAAGGAAAGGAAAAAAATGAGAGAGAAATAGAGATAGAGAGACACACACAGAGAAAGAGAGGGATGATGATGAAGATGAAAATGAAAAAACTTAGATCAATGGCCCAAAAAGATATTTCTACTTGAAGTTTGATCATAGAGGATTTGTAAAGTCCACACGTGACTTTAGGATTAGAATTAGGTTTTGATCAATAGCTAAAAATATCACTGAAGGGAAAAAAAAAGCCCATGCCTCATATGTCTTGGGTTTAAGCCAATGAGCGTGCTTGGTGGGACTACGCTTTAGTGAAGTTGCCTCACCTTGTGCCCATTGAAGCACTTTAGGTGCACATCGGCTCGCTCCAGGTTTAGGCGTGTGTCTAGGTGTGCTTTTCGCAACATTTCTTATGTCCTAACAGATGGTTAATGTCTTAAGGTGAGCTGACGGGTAAGAAGTTGAAAATAGTCATTCGTAATGTCTAATCTGATAAAATTAATCATAGAGAAGAGAAATAGGAAATGTATAAAACCAACAGCCAGTCTATAATTCACAACCTAACCTAGAAATACATAAAGTAACCCTTATATAGTAGGGCAACACAACATAAAGAGAATGCCTAAACTACCCTTATTATGAATACTCTAACACCCCCTCTCAAACTCATGATGTGGTAGAAAACATCAAGAGTTTGTCAAGAAGAAATCGAAAGCGTGCTATTGTATGAGACTTTGTAAAAAAATCCGCTATCTGCATTGTGGAAGGAAGAAAGGGGAGAGTAATGGTGCCCTGCTGCAGATGATGACGCACAAAGTGACAATCAATCTCAATGTGTTTTGTGCGCTCATGGAAGACCGAGTTATGAGCAATCTGAATAGCACTGGTGTTGTCGCAAAACATAGGAATAGAAGATGATACCGAAATGCCAAGATCAGCAAGGAGACATCTTAGCCAGACTATTTCAGCTGTAGTAGAGGTCATAGCACGATACTCAGCTTCAGCAGAAGAACGAGCAACAACAGTTTGTTTCTTGCTTTTCAAGGAAATAAGAGAATCCCCAAGAAACAGGTAGAAACCAGTGGTGGACTTGAGATTCATAGAGTCACCAGCCCAGTCAGCATCAGAGGAAGCCCTGAGTTCCATAGATGAAGAGTGAGGAAATAGTAAACTCTGATGTAGAGTACCACGGAGACACCGAAGAATGCAAAGAACAGTAGCCCAGTAAACGGTGATGGGTGAGGCAACAAATTGACTCACAATGTGAACAACATAAGATATATCCGGACGAGTGACTGTAAGATATACTAAACTCCCAACAATAGTCCGATAGAGGGTTGAATCAGACAAGGGAGTACCGTCGGACGAAGAGTAACGAACATTGAGTTCTAAAGGTGTGTCAACTATCCGATTATCTGATAAACGAGTTCGTTGAATAACATCTGAGACATACTTGGACTGAGAGAGAAGGTATCCTTTGGGAGAGAAAGCAATCTCAATACCCAAGAAATACCTAAGTTGTCCCAAATCTTTCATCTCAAAATGGTCCTGCAACTGGGTTTTCAATAAGCATATGCCAGCAGTGTCATCACCCGTAATAATCATATCATCAACATATAATAAGAGAATAATAGAACCTGAGGAAGTAGACCGTAAAAAGAGAGCAGAATCATGGTCACTGGCGTGAAAATCCAAGTCACAGATAACTGAAGAGAATTTGGCAAACCATGTCCTGGAAGCCTGTTTAAGACCATATAAGGCACGATGAAGTCGACAAACTTGACCAGAACTATAAGATAATCTAGGGGGAGGTGTCATAAAGATTTCTTCAGTTAAATCTCCATATAGAAATGCATTTTTTACATCCATTTGAGACAAACTCCATTGTCGAATGTCAGCAATTGCAATCACGGTGTGAACAGTAGTCATCTTGGCAATAGGAGCAAAGAGTCTCATCATAATCTAGACCATATTCCTGAGCAAACCCCTTGGCTACTAATCGAGTTTTATATCATTCCACAGAACCATCTGACTTGGTTTTTATTTTATAAACCCACTTACAACCAATAGTGCGTTTACTAGGCGATAAAGACACTAGCTCCCAAACTTTGGTCTTATGTAAAACAGACAACTCCTCATCCATAGTCTGTTTTCAAAGTGGATCAAGTAAAGCCTCCTTGTAGGAGGTGGGTTCAGATAGAGAATGAATAGACGTAAGAAAAGAACAAAAGTCAGAAGAATAACAAGTATTACTCCAAACAAACCTGTCTGTACATTTGCGAGAGCGCTGAGGATAGCGTGGGGTATGATCCACAGTATTTGAACCTGATTGGGCGGCTTGAGGAGAAAGGAGGGGCACTGCATTCGGAGAAGAGATAACTGGAGTCCTGCGAACATATGTATGCACAATAGGGGGACGAGTGATAGTCGGCTCAGAAGATGAAGGATCTGACACAGGTATATCACTAACATATGTGTCATGAGGAACATTAGTAGGGAAGGGATCAATGTATAACAAGTCAGACTTATTCAATGAGGAAGAACTAGATGAAATTGAAAAGAAGGGAATATATTCCATAAAAACAACATAACGAGAGACATAAAGTTTGCGGGTGATGGGATCATAGCAATGATACCCTTTTTGACCCTCGCCATAGCCAAGAAATATACAAAAAGCTGAACGGGCAGAAAATTTGGTACGAAAAACACTAGGGAGCAAAACAAAACAGGTACAACCAAACACATGTAAAGAAAATTAATTAGGTGGCTTACCACACAACTTTTCAAATGGAGAGACTCCAGAGGTGAGAATAGTAGGAATGGTGTTGATTAAATGAACTGTTGTCAAAACTGTTTCTCCCCAAAATGAGCTAGGAACATGTGCTGATAAAAGAAGAGAACGTGCTATCTCTAGAATATGACGGTGTTTTCGTTCGGCAACATCATTCTGCTCAGGTGTGTCAGTGCAAGATGATTGATAAAATGTACCATCGGATTTCAACAAATCATGAAAAGAAGTAAGATTATATTCACCTCCCTGATCACACCAAAAATATTTAATGACTGTGGAATATTGAGTGCGTACCATGTTACGAAATGTAGTGAAGATGAAAAAGAATTCAGACCGATGTTTCATCAAGAATATCCAACAATACCTCGTGTAATCATCAATAAATGAAACATAATATTTAGACCCTCTTTGTGTAGGAATGAGAGCCGGTCTCCATATATCAGAGTGAACAAGATCAAATGGTGCAAGAGAACAAGTAACACTTTTATTAAATGGCAATGCACTAAATTTAGCCAACTTGCATCCACTACAATCAGAAATGTCATGGCTTGCTAAACTACCCAAACTACCAGTCGAAGCTAAAAATTTTAAACGAAAATAAGAAACATGACCAAGACGAGAATGCTATAAATAAAAACTAGATGACTCTGGACTCAAACGAAATGAAGATAAATCAACAGTAGAAGCAACAACAACAACATCTGGGACATGAAGCTCCTCCAACACATATAACCCGCCCTTCCTACAGCCTGTCCCAATCAACTTTTTAGATCGTGGATCCTGCATAACACAACCAGAGGAAAAGAAATAAACCAAAAATCTAAAATCAAATAGTTGACTTACTAAAAATAAATTCAAAGTAAGTTGAGGAATATAATAGACATCTGAAAGGGTAAGGTTGGAAGAAATAATTGTCCCAACACTAGCTAATGACATTTGAGAACTATTGGCAGCAAGTACATACAAAGATGGAGGAGAGACAATAGATGCAAATAAAGAAGGGTCACTGGTCATATGATGTGTGGCACCTGAGTCAAAGACCTAGGCAGTTCGAGATATACCTGAAGGACCTGAGCTAAACGAATCTACAGTGGGAGAAACTGTGAGAGCACCAGACTGATGAAGAGAGAGAAACTGCTGTAATTGGTCTGCAAGTATAGTCAAGCTGGGAGCTGATGAGGCTGACTCATCCACTGGCGATGCTACGGTTGCTGTATGATGATCTCTGGGCTTAAATGGTTGATTTGGAGACCCTCGTGCATTCTTGTTCATCAACTTTGGACATTGGGCCTTCCAGTGACCCTTTTCACGACAGAAGCTACACTCATCAGAAGCAACTCGACCTCGATATTTGTTTTGAGAATTAGAGGTCACTTTGGAAGGAACAGCCAACACAGTCTGATTTGGTAGTGGAAGAAGAACCTTTCCAGAAAGGGTTTAAAGGCGAACTTCTTAAGCTAAGAGCTCATTAACAACTGCATCCACTGAGGGGAGTGGGTGACGATGAAGAATGGAACCACGAAGTCCCACAAAATCATCTCTAAGGGCCATCAAGAATTGCACCAGCCTCTGTTCCTCTCTGAAGGTGCAATATATCAGATTAGTATTCAACTCAGTGGGTTCAGTAAGTGTTAGCTGATCCCAGAAGCCAGTCGTAACTGAATAGAATTCTTGTATATTTTTGTCCCCTTGACGCGCATCGCGAATCTCATGTTCTAGTTGATACCTCTTTGCAAAATTAGACTGGACAAAAAGTGTGGCCAAATAATTCTATATTTCCTTAGCTGTGCCAAACTTGGATAGATGAACCCCAATGGTCTGATCAACTGAGTTATTAATCCAGGTGATAATTTTTGCATTGTTGATATCCCAAGTACTCTTCAAAATAGCATAATCTTCAGCCTTAGTATCAGTTGGAGCTTGTGCAACACCACTAATATAATTCCACATATATTTTTCTATTAAATTTTATTTCATAACATAAGCCCAATAAGCATAATTTTCACCTATTAATCTCACACTAATGACTTGAAGTGAATCAGAATTTCCACTTGCCATTGTTATCAAAATCAAAACAGTCAAAACCCTAGCAGCCACCAAACAATACAATAACACAAAAAGAACAATCCACAGTCAAAACCCAGAACAACAATCAACAAATAAAGCAATAATACCAAATACCAAACAACACCAAAGAAGAAACCACACTGCCGAAGCCAACCAGAATGCCCACTACACCGGCGTTGACAACAACAGAGCAGAGACACTGCCCAACAACAAAACACAACCAGACTGCCCAATACCAATCAACAACAAGACAGAGATACTCCTGTCGAAGCCACAATCAGGTTGCCCAAGCCACAATCAGGCATATCGAAACCCTCGGTTGTCCAAAATCAAGCCAAAATGTTATTCAAAAGCTTTGAGTCTCTCAAGAGGTGACCCAGGAAGCTTAGTCGTGCCTCTTAGAGAAGATTTGAACAAAAATTTGCAGCAAAAAACCCTTATTTCAACAGATTGAAGAAATTCGAAAATTTGGGCAAAAAATATTCAAAAAATAGAAACACCTACAAGATGTGTTCAAACTCGAAAACAAATTATACCAGCAGAAAGCCCATATAATTTCGAGTCTGATGGTGGTCTTCATGATTGGAAAAGGATGACGTCATCACCGGTGATGTTGACGTCATTCTCTGGTAGCCCAGAAAAAGAAAGGGAGAAATTCTTTCATAATTGCCGATGTCTTAGGTCTTAGGCTCTGATACCATGATAAAATTAACCATAGAGAAGAGAAAGAGGAAATGTATAAAACCAAGAGCCAGTCTATAATTCACAACCTAACCTAGAAATATATAAAGTAACCCTTATATAGTAGGGCAACACAACATAAAGAGAATGCCTAAACTACCCTTATTATGAATACTCTAACATCAAGAAATTTTGACTTGATGCCCCTAGAATTTGCTGACAGCGAAGAATGTCCTCACTACCGTATTGCCTGTTGAAAAGGATGTTACAAGAATCTACCAGAAGGAATCTTTCTTCTGGATGTGAGTCATGTACCCAAGAAAGGCAGTTTTTTCCTGTCAAACAGAACTTGAAGAAACTCCTTCACAAGATTTTTCCATTTATGATAAAGGGCGGACAGAACTGATATCAATACTGTTTGCTTTGTCTATGACATATTTGATGGCTGTGGCCCCGTCTTTTTTAGCAATCCTATTTCTCTGCTCAATTTCTTTGTAAACCATTTAGGATCTTTACTGTTTGGGAGGTCAGTCCCTAGCATCATTTTGTGGTTTTAAATTCCACAAGGTCTCTCCCCACTTCTCCCTCAAAAAAGGGAAAAAAGAAAAAGAAAACCTCGGACTCAAAACGCTTAGATTCAACATTTACGCTAATTCTGATCCATTTTTGCCCTTTCAATAATGTGAACATTCATGGTTATTCGTAATTTTCGTTTTTCTTTTGTACACGTATAGCATTACTATTCAATCAGTATATATGTATATTTTTTTTCTTGAGCAAAAACATTTCTGTAGTGTTTCGTTAGCGCCTCCTGTTCTCACTTGTATGCCTTTGGTATATTTCTCTGTTTCTTTTTGTGAACAACGGCTTTAATTTCAGATTAGTAGCCGTAACTTGGATCGTGTTCGTAAATTGAAGAGTTCAATGACGAGGTTGACTGCTCGTGTCCAAAAGGTATGGGCGTTGTTGTCCTATGTGCTAAAGATATTTATTGTCCAATCCCTTTTTCTGGTAATTGTATACTTGGCCACATCTTAAAGTCGGTAGGTAAATTTAATGTTTTACATCTTGATTATGGGGCTCGACCAAAAATTTGTCTAGTCATTTTGGCTACTGATTTTTCAAAAGAATAATACCTTTTTTCTATGATGTTATAATGGTCTCTTCTGATATGTTTTTCTTGCTTTCCATTATTTCTTAATTTGAACTATGTAATTAGATGCATTGAGGGGTAAGGTACATACGTTCTCCCCTAGCTAGGTGTAATTCTTTTTTTTTTTTTGAATCAATAAAATTCCCTCGTACCGTCGAAGTTCATTAAAAAAAAAAAAAAAAAGAACTCCAATAAGAGAGAGAGTTTGTTATTAAGGACTCTCCAGTCTCTTCTGGTATGTGACGTCGTAGAATAGTTATAGACCTTATGTTTCCCTAAATGACAGTACATATGAATGTCAAATGTTAAGCATTTTCAAAAACGGTGGACTCCCTTCTGATGCATGTGGGTGGCCTGTAGAATGACATCTTTCAAATCTAAGTCTTGTGATCATTTGGTGGCGGATCTGGCAAGATGGCAGAGACTGTAAAATTGCTCTCATTTTTGTTGGTAGGTTATTAAGTGGCAGTATAACATCCCAATAAAAGTCCGACTTTGTCAAGCAGAGATTCATCAGACTCAAACTAATGAAGCACATTTTTAACCTAATTGCATTGCAATTTCATTTGTAATATTTGCCTTTTTACAATTGTTTCTAATGGTCACATCGGTATATCCTTTTTTCTTCCCCCCCCCCCTCCCTCCCTTTTCCTACCCCTGGCTCCAATTCTTCTCCTAGTTGCTTGTTTTGTTCACACTACTACAGTAGAAGCTTCTGAACTTTCTACACCATACTATGCCTACCTCAAGAAAGGAACATTGAATTACCAACATCATAATTTGAAGTAAGAATATTCTACGATGTGTACTTTTCCTGCATAATGATGAATGGCCTTCAAGAAGCTTTCCTTCTTTCTTTCTTATAAGAGATAAACTAAGATAGTTAGCTTTCTAACTATCTGATTTGCTTCATATTTTGTATGACTTGTTGGAAAAAGCTATTGGATGCCATCTTATCATTATGTGCCTCATCACAAGTTGATGTTTTGTTTTTTTATTGACAACGGAGAGCTGTTCCAACCATGTGTCCTTTGGGCTTGTGACTACAAGGAAACTCCATATGCACATAACATAATCATATTGTGGCTCTGCCGGGCTGAAAAAATGAAAAGCATAATTTCCATATTTTTTTTTGGTTTTTTAATTTTAGTTGCTTCTTCAGGAACTTCAGTGCTGAAGAAAATGATAATGCAGAAAGCTAATCAAAACCTGTGATTTGTGCCCGTCAAGCAAAAAATTGTGGGATATCTGTATGTCAACTTATATTGACATGCCGTAGTGTCCAGACTAGAGAATCTTTCTAGACATAAACCTGGCTCACATCATGTCGGGTGTCCCTCCTTGTTTGCTTTAGCTGGTTAATGATATTTCTGGTATTGATCTTTGTGGCATACAATAGAGAGAGAGAAAGAGAGAGCTCACAAATGAGGCTGGTTTTATTTTACTTTGTTCTCACAAAGTGCAGGTGACTGCAGGTGAGGGATGAGCTTGAACAACTTTTGGATGATGACGATGATATGGCCGATCTTTACTTGTCAAGAAAATTGGCTGGTACATCTTCACCTGTAAGTGGATCAGGTGGTGCCAGTTGGTTCCATGCATCTCCTACCATCGGCTCAAAGATATCCAGGGCTAGTAGGGCAAGTGTTGCAACAGTTCGGGGAGATGAGAATGATATTGAGGAGCTTGAGATGTTGCTTGAGGTTATAACACTGACCTACTTGATCATCAGATTTTATGAAAAGTAGATTCTTAAGAAAGTGTGTATGTGTATATTGCAGGCTTACTTTATGCAGATTGATGGCACATTAAACAAATTAACTACGGTATGTGATGATGAAATCTTTCGATTTGTCCTGTTTATTGTTGTTGTTTTCTGTAAATAGCTTGCAGCATGCACATTCTGCATTTCTATGCAAAACAAATTGATAAGCTTGCCCTAACAGTAAAATTATCAAGAGCCTGTGGATGTTTTTTCTGAAGTTAATTTTTTTTTTGTTTTTTTGGGGGAGGGGAATGGGGTTTGAACCTTTAACCTTAAGAAGACAAATTCTTCACAAGACAAGGAGTACCATTAGACCAAAGACCCGTTAGTTCTGAAGTTAATTCTTAAATGAGCAGGTATAGGAAAAATTGGTGAGGGACAGTGGAGGGTTTTCGGTGGTTGACTTTAATTTTGTAAAATTAAAAAACTTAGTTTGTTCGAGGTTTTTTGGAAATGTTAATTTTGAAACGTCCAATGTTCATGTTATGATTGTGTTCCAATGTATTTATAATAGTATCTGTAGTTTAATTTTTTATGATTAAGGTGACCAAGTTGTGACATTGCATCAGATGTTAGTTCTTTATCTTTTTATAGAAGAGGTATGACACTTTCTTACATACACGGTACGATGGGGGTAGACTTAGCTGGTACGGTATTTTGGGTTGCAATTAGTTTTAGAACTATTATCTAGATCATTTTCACCACTATAAAATATTATATATTATAGAACATTTATAAACACTAAGTCAGCTACCATTTATCTTACATTTGTACTCAATTTTTAATTATCTGAAACAATGTATAATTATAAATCTATATATATGTAGTTAATTAATATGTATTTTATATTTGTGCTACGTGTACAATTTGGGATCATACATTTTGGTGATCTGGATCATACAATTCACTAAGTCACCCTGTGATTTCAGGGGGTTTAGTAAATTCTGGTAACTATGCGGTGGACCTCTCTAGTCTTTGCTTTTTTTTTTCTCCCTTTACACTTGACTGCATTGTTTGCTTCTCATTTTTTGTTAGAAGTTATTATTATGCCAAAGGCTTGGGGATATAATGTAAGGGTGAGTACGTTCTGGATTTCTACAAGCAGTCATAGGATTGTTCGAAAAGACTTGATGTTTTTATCCGAGTTTTAGGTGTACAATTATAGGTGTTCAGTTATAGTCAACAACCTTATTGCTACAGGTGCAAAAGGAATTGATTTTCCTTTTAGCAGCTTGGCACACAACGTATTGGTTCTACCAAGATCCCGTACATGCCATTTAAACTTGTTGGCTTAATCCATTTCATTGTAGATGGTCAGGCTCGATATATGCTTTTTAAACTTTCTATTCTGTATATTACTTCTTTAGTGCATGTTCCCGGGAGCTGTAGTCAGTGAGATGAGGTGTCTTGCTTTCCTCTTTCTCTTCATCTTTGTTACTATTGTGGCAGATGTTATCTCAATACTTGGAGGGATCATTGTCTTTGTTACCTCTTTGAGGTTGCAAAATTACAGGATGATCTTGTGTTGGCTAACATGTTCAGCTTTGTATGCAGTGTTTTAAGTAGGGGCCAATAATTTTTCATTACATTTGGAAATCAACATGGGTTTAAATTCCATTCATTACTCTCTCTCTCTCTCTCTCTCTCGTTAATCATATTTTTCCTATGTTTCTCTGTATATTCTACATTCTGCTGTTGCCAACTTTATGGTCTCTTTACATACAATTTTTTTTTTACTACACTAACGTATTTTATAACCAACATTCTACTTGAAAATTTTGCAGTTGCGTGAGTATATTGATGATACAGAGGATTATATAAACATTCAGGTAATCAATTAAGCTGAAAGAAGTTTGTTTCATTGAATGTTGATGCTTTCTGGTATAAAACTAATGCTTTTTACATTGCAGCTTGACAATCATCGAAATCAACTGATACAGGTACTGTAGTCTAAATGAAATTAATATCATCTTGTTGGTTCTCTCTTTTGTTTGTTTTGGGGTCACTTAATCACGTGGGCGAAGCTCAGAACAAGAGGCTGTCTAAGATATTGTGGATTTATTATGTGTTATTTGTGACTGCAGTTAGAGCTCTTTCTAAGTTCAGGAACAGTGTGTTTAGCCATCTACTCATTGGTGGCTGGAATATTTGGGATGAACATCCCATATACTTGGAATACGGGACACGGTTACATGTTTAAATGGGTATGCATACAACTTCAGGCTGGTGAATTATACTGTTTAATTCTTATGACAGTGCTATTTCAGCTCCCAAAATGATTCTCTCTCTGATGCTGTTGGCAGGTGGTCATAGTCACAGGGACTTTCTGTGCCATGGTGTTTGGACTTATCATGTCTTATGCTCGGTTTAAAGGCCTTGTTGGATCTTAAGTCTTCTGAGCAACAGTGTTACCAGCAGATAATAAGAAGAATAAACTGATTTTTAGCACCACATTTGCCCATTTTGGGTAGCAAACCACAGAATTGTAAGCTGATATATACAATGCAACGTTTTATTCTTATGATCTTGGTCCAATTATCCATATTATACTTATCTACATAAACTCGATGTTGTTCATTGTAACGATTTACATGTAATTAACGTTAAGGAAGAGATTAGTTGTTGTCTAGAATTTCAACTAGCTTTTGCAGGTCTTGACATCCGTTTAGTAACACTTTTTTAAAGTACTTTTTCAAACCAAATCCAAAAAAAAAAAAAAAAAAAAAAACAATTTTGGACAATTTTTTCCTTTTAGCTTAAAGTAAATGCAAAAAAACAAAAGGATGTTTGATAAGCATTTTTGAAAACACACTTTAAAAAAAAAAAATAGTAATGTCAATTCTACGAGGAAAATGAATTATCTCTAAGTAGCTCTAGATCGCAGATATTCTTCTTTTCAATCCGTTTCTAATAGATTTTTAGAAAATTTTAAGGTTCGATTTTATGGTTGATTAAACATATCTTTGAGAAATTGGTTTTTGAGAATTTGAGGTTTATTATTAAGTTCAAGGGCTAATTTTTAATTTTTTTTTAGCTTGGTTTTGACTTGGGTTCAACTTCAATATTCTCAATCATAACCAAGCTTTTAGTGCTCCAACTTTTATTACGTTTAGTTGAATGAAAAAAATTATTGGGTAATCATAATACCACGTCATCATTGTCACGTGATTTTATTGTCTAATAAAAATATAAAAAATAAATAGGTGGATCCTACGTATTTTAGTAATCATCTTGCCATATCATTTAATCACCACCTAAGTGAGATTTATCTTACTCATTTATATGTTTATTATTGAATAGTGACGCCACGTGTTAATGATAACATGGTGTTATCATTACACTCAATATTTACTCGGTATAGAATAATAAAGTATATGGCAGGTTATAATATAGTAATAAGAAAATGTCTAAGCCAACCGTGCCTATTTGTTTGATTGGCTAGCGAAAAAAATCCTGATTTCAAGAATTCGGTGTACCTCAGAGTGAATATCTTGAAATACTAAATTATCGTATTTTATTATCATATCTATATACGAAAATGGAAGATAAATGAATGATGCATTGATTGACCAGTTACGCATGCTTTCAAACCCTTCAGTTATGCTTCCTCAATTCTTTGGAACAATAGAAAAAATGGGGTTATTCTTGTTCAAACTTATCTTAATCAGTCGTGTTATTTTCGAGTTTATTTAAAAAATAAACAATCCTATCTGTCTTAGATTGGCCCAAGATTCACCCGGTTTCGTATTTAGGCTTGAAATCTTGTCTAAGAGGCACCAAATATGTTCCACCTTCAATCTCTATCTGTTATTAGTAATCTCATTTCGATTTTTTCAATTAAGTGATAGGGGGTGGTTTAGAAGGCGCTATCCAACCTATGCTCTCCAAGAGTGAAGGGTTAGGCAGGTAGTATGAGCCCTCCAATTTTCGGCTATGTACCATGCAACTTATATGTAGTACCCAATTTTAAAGCTCGTTAAGTTTCGTTTTTCTCTATCTTTTATAAAGTAAATCGACTTTAGCGATTTGTCGAGTTTACAAAACTTTGCTTTTTTATGTGGGCCCTTAATATCTTCCTTCATTTGCTTGCTTTCCCTTACGCTTGCTTGTCTGCACGAAGGTTTGTATGATAGGCGTTTGGTTAGTTGGGTCCAGATAACAGTGTTAATAATCTTATTTTATAAAATTGTTGAAGATCCTCGTATATCACGTGGCACAATATCATTGACCTGATGTGATAAGATACCACTTCTTTCATGTACACCTTTTCCACGTGAAACTCACCCCTTACGTTACACACGAGAGCCATGCATGCACAGGTGCACAACTTAGTTCATGCTAATTGCCAGCGCATTTTATCATCAACCCCCTCTTTTAATTTATGCACTTTCCATAACTAATTTATTTAATGACACATTAAAACCTTTTTCTTATTACGTTACGCGTAACATACTACTCACACCACGTGCGGTAAGGGCGGGGTGTGAAGGAAATCGAATTATGCATTGTGCGCGATACAGCTGGAGACTCTTATAACTTTGAATGGATCGACATGTCTAAAAACACCATAATAGCCCGTGTTTTGAACCAAATTTAAGCTTAACCCTTTAATTTGAGTTTGTTTCAATTTCATCATCGAATAATTCCACTTTCGTCAATTTAGCTCATCCACCTCTTTGGTGTTAGGTTTTGGATAGAAAATATAGCACTAATTGTCCTCCATGTAACCACGATTAGCACCCATTGTCTCAAACGGCATCACCATGACCAATACATAGGATATACCTCTACATATGTTTGTATCTCTATAGACTATGAACAATTTTAGAGTTAAACTTGTTAGAGAAAGTAATAATATTTTCAAGAGGGAGTTACTAGGCTATATGTGATGGGTGGTGATTGCCATGAAGGGCTTGGATGGTGGGGTTGGAGATCTTGATCAGGAGGGGTTAGATGGTGGTGGGTTGGTGACTATGTGGAGGAGGCGGCTCTCTAATGATGATGGGTACTGTAAGACTTTTAACAAGTCGTGATTATATATAAAGAGATAATTTTTTTTTTTTGCAATGATCACGAACTTAAAGAAAACATATATATTTTGAATTAATCAAACTATTATGTCATGTGCTAGTCACATAATTTTTTTTCTTCGTTAAACAATCAACAGACGACATTAAGTTTTGGGACTAAATTGAAACATGGTTCAAAGTATAGGGGGAAATAGTGTAATTTATCACATCCTCAGTGTTTTAAGACTGCAAGCCTCGAACTCGGTCTGGTTCGTAGCATAGTTCATGGTGAGAGAGCTTTCAAACAGATCATCAGTGTCATCATCATCATCCACAAGCCTCCATTGTCCAATTCCAACAAAACCCACGTCGGTTCACGTTGAATAATCCAAACCCATCCCTTTAGATCACACACTTCATGACCCGCTTCCTCTCTCTAGATCGAGATATGTAGAGTGAGAAACAGAGAGCATATCTGTGTAGAAAGAGACGGGAAAGAATCGTTTTCTCTTTCTTTTTGTTTTTCTTTGTGATTTCCGTGGTTTCTCGTGTAGAATGATTGAAATCTCATAATTTTATTGGGTGTATTTCCTGGCTGACATGCAAATATACAATCTTATGTGGTTACGTCCATAAACTATCACCGTCAGATTTCGCTTTAGAGAGAGAGAGAGAGGTGTTGGTGATGGCGAGCATTAGCAAAGACATGCAAGCTCGGGCCGAGAAGCTGAAGTCAGTCGTGACATGCCCGATCTGCAACAAGTTCTTCAAAGATGCCACTGCCATCTGTGAATGCCTTCACACATGCAAGTCCTCTTTCTCTTTCTAGATCTCTCTCTATTTCTCTCAGTTATTTTCGTTTAATTTTTTGCTTATTTATCTCAATTTACGTTACTAGTTTATGATCTGATTCATCTGAGTTCTTCTCAGTTTACGTTCACTTGATTGCCTTCATTTGATCTTTTTAACATAAAATCTGGTATTTCTACGATATGGGTTTTGCATGATTTATGGTTTTATGATTTGGGTCTTCTTTCGTTTGGATTTTATCAGTTTGGTCTTGGCTGTCTGGTTAGTGAAGACTAGTTTAATGTTCTTTCTTCTTAGGAATTTATGTTTGGCAGTAACGATGGATTTGAACTTGCCAGATTGTAACTTACAGGCTTCGATGATCAAGAGAAATATTGATAATTTAAAGGTTATTTTGTGGTAAATTATTAATTGTGCGAGAATATCATGGAAATTTGCTTTGCTTAATTACGGGATTAACTTTGGCTCAACAGAGACGTTGTATTTTTGGAAGACAAGAAAGTATTTTTACTGCCTTGGATTCTGTACATGAAAGAGCACCACACTGTAATAGTTCCTGTGCTTTTCCTTTGAGCATGAGAATGTGTGATCAATTGAGGCTCGGACATGGGTTTGAGTGGTAGAAATAATCTCTTCGCATGCAGACCGTAATGAATGAAACCTCGTTCACTGAACTGCGTTTACAATATGTGCTCAGTTGTGGCAATTTCAATTGATCCCTTCGGGATTTTAGAGAAGTCAATGCATGGTTGCATGGTGTGCATGTTTGTGACAAGCTTATACTTGTAGTACATTTTTTGGCCAGTTTGAGCTCTCCGAAACTAATATTTTTTGATGCTTGATTCTCTTGATTACCGAAACAGTTTGCAGAAAATGCATCAGCAAGAAGATAACAGAAGAGAACTTGCGTAACTGCCCCGTATGCGACAAAGATCTAGGCTGTGCTCCACTGGAGAAACTCAGGTATCTCACATGCTTTTCGTTCTAAAACTTTACACATTAGTCATTTGCTTAATGCATGCACTGATCTTCTTATCAAGAATAACAATTGCTTTAAGTGGATATTGCTCGAAAATACTCTACAAATGATAACAATTTATGCAAATAGTTCAAAGTAAACAATCAAGCAATGTGCAGGACATTACTAATAAATTGTCTAGTAGACCTGTCCTTACATCTGCACTTCGTAAAATGAGGTGGTGGATATTGCAGATAGCATTAGGCTGTTACCGAAAATATCAAAGCCATAACTCTACCTTCACTTTCGTCTCTGCCTCTGTATCTTCGCGAGATATTGTGGGAACTTATGTAAAAGTATCATCCTCAAACCTGTCTATCCCAGCTTAATACCTTAACGTATAACTTTGTTGCTACATTAGTTTCTGGTTAACTCCACATAAAGCAATTCGCAAAACAGAAATAGAAATTAGAGCAGAGGTATACGTTTGTTAAATTTTCTCTTTGTTGCTGACCCGCAGGATGGACCACGATTTGCAAGATATTAGAACAAGTATCAAGACTTTTGCGAAAATGAAAACTAAGGAACATGAACTTGCAAAAGGAACCGCAAG